AATGTAAATTTTCTTAGAGTGTTTTTATATAAGTTGTTGTAAGAAAGGTTACGTTTATGGTTTTTTAAAAATGTTAAGGTGTGAAAGGATTTCGGATTATGGATGAGGTGTAGGTGGTGTTTTGCTGTTTTTTTTTCGGTAGTTATGAATCCATAATTGGTTTGTTAATTGTGAGTTGCGATATATTGGACTCTCAATTTGTGGTTCTCATGATTTATCATTTGAATTGATGGATTGGCCATTACATAATTGTATTTCGTTAGGTTTTATGTTAGACTAAATATGATATTGAAGATCTGAATTAAATATTGAAATTTTTAATCAATTGTTTTTATTATAAATTAACACTTAAATGTATAGTTTATCAGTTATGCATGCGAGTTCAATTTTCGGTTAACCAAAAAAATTAAAACCATTTCTGAAATTAACCGAATTAAATTTTGGTTTGGTTCGGTTTCTCTTTTCGGTTATTTTTGGGTTTGAAGCCACACATCGAATATAACCAATTATTTTGGTTTTCAGTTATTTTTGGCATAATTTTCTTTAAAAATATGTTTTTTATTTAAGTTTGGTCATTCAGTTAACTTTGGTCATTCAGTTAACTTTGGTTATTTTCGGTTACATTGAGTTTGATTTTTGATTATTTTTTATTACTATTGGTTATTTTCGATATTTTGAAAAAATAAAATTTAAAAGAATGAACCGAACCGGTAACCAAATTAATTTTAAAACCTTTACCGAACCAAACCAAACTCAAAATTGAAACCAGACCGAAAACTAAAAAAATTGGTCTGGTTCGGACAAAATCTGCATGCCTAATAGTTATAATATCCCATTATATAATTTAAATTCGGTGAAGGTCGTTGCCTAGTTGTAAAGAATATATTGTTTCGATGCATAAGTACTAATGTATGATTTTAAAAGCTAAGGTACCAAATGGGGTAGCGGGAGAAGTGCAGTTCTCATGTACTCAAATTACCATTCACGGTTTTTTTTTATTTTTAAAATATATTGAATGGAAGATCTACATGCAGTTCAATATATATATATATATATATTGTAGAAAGAGTAGGAGATATGTATGCATATCTCACCCGTTAACATTTGGTGATGTTAATTTTCATTTTCTTTTTTTTTAATCAATAAACAATTTTGTTACAAACACTTAATTTTAAAATATATTTATGTATTCTTAAACAATACAAAACTATCATTGTCTACTTATTTTTATTTTTACTTTTTTCATATAATTTCTACATTTATTTAAATAATTATATTATATAATGCATGTTTAGCTATAATATGTATCATGAAAATATATAGTAATATAATTTAAATATGTATATGAATGGAAGAGATGTGTATATCGTTAAATTGTAAAATCTTTTATATTTTGATGTTTAAATTCTGATAACACAGTTTTAGAGCTATAAATTATATTTTGTTATTATTGCGGTAACATATTTTTTATTAAATTTTAATGTCTATCATATTTTGTTTTCATTAAAAAGGCAGTAATATGTTATTTAAGTATTATATTTATGATATGTTTTGATATATTTCATTGTATTTTTAATTATTTATATATATATATATCTAATCTATTTTATTTAAACTATTTTATCATTCAAAATTATAATAATTGTTTGATATGTTTGATATGCATCTCTCCTGCTTGGTATGCATAATTTATTTGATTTGCACTTGTTGATCTGTATAATTTGTATCTCTTAAACCGCTTGTACTATTCGAAACCTTAAGTTATATGTATTTGTGTACTATTATGTAAACAATTTGGTTTTAGTTTTTTATTTTTCCATTAGTTTCTTTACTTTAATAGTTTTATTTTAATAATTTGTAGTTTTATTGTAAGGGGATACTATCATTTAATGTTTTTGTTCAATGCAGTTAATTTTTTTTTATTTATACTAAGATTATATTTTATGGAACTGAAGATACGCAAATAGCAATAGAGATGATGAAGATATATATAATTTTTGTTTTGCATGTCGTTGAACTTCGTTTATTTTTAAATTGGGATAATGGATTTTTTTTTCTATTCTAATACTTTCTTTAATATATTTTGTAGACTTTTAATAATCTTTATAAGTTTAGTTTTTGTATGTAAATATGATGACACTGAAATATTAAAAATTATGATAAATTAATTTATTTATTACATGATTTAAAAAAAAAGAATTGATATTTGTTAACATATTGATGCCAATAAGGTAACTGAATTTTAATGAATCAATTATAAAATTATTTATGAAGTTTCTAACGTTTTTTAAAAGATTTAGTCTAGAAAATAAAGTAGTAAATTTTAAAAGAAGCCTAAATAGATAAATATGTTAAACCTAAATTGATGTGTCGGGCTCATGTTGGCCGAGAAGGTATAACTTTACATATACATAGTTTAGAAAGAAAAATATTATTTCCATTCAAAATATAATATCTTTAACGTAAACATTTATTATTGTTGTTACTAACCAAGGAGAAAAAACTGGTCAAATAAAAGATAGATTACATGAATCCAACAACTTCCAAACAATTATGCTACAATGGTTCTTCTCCTTTACGTTCTTGTGAAAGTTGAGGGACTTGATACGATAAGCAAAGAGAGTCAAAGAGGAGTATCCATCATATGTGGACTCATGTCTCCGACACCAGCATCTGCATGATCGAATTTTTGTCTCCTACTTGAGATGTGATGATACCGTACAACGTCCAAGCTGCTGGTGTAGCCCAGTAGAACCATCTTCACCACAACGGTATTTGCTACGTAACTAAACTTGTTATTTAGATACATTCTTTTTGTTATTGATTATGTAAGGTGATGTACCGGCCTTGGGGTGAGGAAACCTGAGAAGGAGACTCCAGAGACTAAGGAGAAAGGACATGCATACCATATAGCGCGAAATATATGAAGCTCGTTAGCATTGAGTAGTAGAACCATAAGAACTTAGCCACAGTCCACCCATATCGTGTTGCACATGATTTCCAGGGCCACATGCGCTATTTCAAGGACAAATTCTCATTGTGGTCTAACCATATTTCAATGAATTAAAATATGGCAGCAGAAGAGTATTGAGCATGATTAACCTGAGAGATTGCATAAGGGATAGCTGAGTACATTCCAGCAGCTTTATCACGGTTGATACAGTGGGCTCAATGGTGAAAGCAGGTTGAACTGTTGCAGCGTTGGTGGCACCGATGACCGAGGAACAGTATTGCAGCGTACATGACTCCAAAGAAGTTATTCAGGTCTTGCTCCTTCTATCTGTTGTGGTTTTGGGACGAATCACTCACGTTTTAATAAGATGATAGTTTAATAAAATGGAACATAGGGAAGCAAGCTTACATTTTCGTTCCTGTTTTCCTATAAATCAAGCCAATATTGCCATGAGAAACATGATAGCATTGTACTGAATATCTCCAGTTAGACCAATAATGTTGAAAGAAGCAAGCTTTGGTTTGAGTCAAAAATGGATGCGAGTACTTAGTTTGGAAGTAGAGATCTTTCGAACCTGGCGGTGTAGTATTGAGCTCTTTGATGAACTCCTGGTTTGTCCTGAAGTAGAAATCACGGTTCAGGTTAGAACAGTGAAGTAACACTCTGGTCTAATACTTATATCAACGTTTGCCTTTCATAAACCGATTAAGAGAGGACTTGGTAGATAGTAGAGCAAAGTCCAAACTCATTTATGACTCCATTCAAGGAGTAGTGACGTCAAGCATCCACTGTATTCAACAGCCTGCAGAATAATGCTATTAGTTTGATTACTCCAAAGTCCCGAACAGATATAACATTAGAAGGACAAAAAAAAATGTTTTTGAGTTTTTTGGAGTGATGTCGTAGACTTCCAGCATACATAACTTGGCCGCCACATTTCATCAACAGAAGCAAAAATGAACAAACGTACGCAGAGATTTTGAGACGAAAATATAATAAGATTTCTGAATTAATAAATCGAACAGCAAACGTTTGAGGTTTAGGAAGCATGAGGGTGATAAAGGGATGAAAGATGACCTTTTTATAGATGGAGATTCACTGCCTCTATGAGAAATATGAAGCACTGAATGAATAAATGCTTGCTGTTGGCCTAAGGAGTAAAGAAAGTTGGTGGTGGTAATGGATCAATGCATCATGTAACGTTTCAATTGAGATGAATTGCAGACGAAACGACCCGACGAAACGACACAAACGGAGTTCGATCGAGAGATTCCTGAAGATTCGTCTCACGCAACCTCCTGAAACTCAATAGTGGGTTTAGGTCGTGAGAGATCGAAGAAGAAGATGGATCTGAAGCTCGGAGCGTTCCAGTTGATTAACCAGAACAACGCAAATCGAAGATCAAGAGAGAGATACGTCCATCATTACTGGGCTCGAAACTGTATCAAAACAAATACAGTAGCCCATTACTTTAATAAAACGCTGAGTTTTGTCCGAAGAGGACACGTGTCCTTATGTGCTTTCTCTATTTTCTGACGTGGAAGGCTTAGGGTGAGGGAAACCCTACTTTATATAATAAGATTATCATTCTAACATTAGCATCTTTGAAAACTCGTGGGGATATTTGAAGATATGTTTACAGAGCTCGTATTCAAGACTCTATGGTTCTTAAGGTTTCTAGCAAGTAGATGGAGAAAATATGGTGAGTTTTCAATGAACAGCCAACTTGGAGGAGGTGCAAGCTTAGAAGAAATAAGAGACACCAAATTGGTGAGCTGGAGAATTTCTGTTGGGACTGGACCTTTCAATGAGTCTTAGAGAGATTAAGTGTTTCTAGCAACAGGAGATTGTTGAACTTGTGAGCGATTGGAGAATAAGTGAAGTTGTTGAGGTGTTTCAGTCTAAAAAGACTTGAATTTGGTTGGCAATAAAGATAGCTGCAACTAATATCTAGACCAATCACCTTTCCTAACTTGGTATGGCATGTTACACAACAGTTGGTGCTATTCCCCCATGATTTCGTCTTTGGGTAAGACATAACGCCCACCATCGAGTAATAATCATAAAGGTTCACCGCGGCGCTAAAGTAAACATTAAACTCCCCAGACTTCCAAATTTTGAACTCCGATTTGAGCTCGAGAAGGACATATCTTTCATCCGGATGACACCGGTCTGGTGTTAGAGATGCAAAAGTGCTTAATAACTTTGAGTAGGAGAAGACAAGAAGAACAATAGGAAGATAGAAGCTGAAATAATAGTATGCGCCTAACATTGTTTTTGGGTATCAATAACTTAGTGGATGTATGATCCCAAATATATTAAAGGAGAAATATTGTAATAAATATGTTCACACTCTAAGAAACACATGTCAGGTTCACAGCGATTTGAGAATGAGAACGCTGACGTGTCACATGTAGATTCTCAGTCAAACTCTACATAAATGTTTTCACATTATGAATTTTCCGTTTTATTTCTATAAAACTCACAAGCAAGGTTCTAACTAAATTCACACTAACCGAATTTTTTGGTTCAAATCAAAATGCATAATTATATATATATATATATATATATATATATATATATATATTATTTTATTGTTTACGGACAGAGCTGCACAAAATATTTATAAATTTTATTCTATTTGGTTTCCATTTTAATTCAAACCGAAAATTCTGGATATTCTTAACTCTAGAAGCAAATCAAATACTAGAATGCAATATCCATAAACAACAAAGAAAATCACACATATTAATATTTTTAGGAATGTATATGTTTCGATCTGTTATATGCATATGTATACATATATTTAAATAAATATATATATATATATATATATATATAATATAGTTTATATAAGTTTTAAAATATTGTTATGTATTAAATTTATTATGTTAGGTATTAGAATTTTTAAATATGTTTTATTTTGTATTTATTATTATTTTGAACTATTTTCGAATTTAGTTTATTTTAATAAATTTTATGTTATTTACGAATAAAATCGGATATCCATTAAATTTCTAAAATTTTTGGATATCCGAGACACTGAATATCCAGGTGGCTACGGATAAAATCAACACGAATATTTGATTTTATTTATATGAAAAAATTCACTAATGTCTCGGACAATTTTGTTTAATTAATTTTATTAATAATTTTATTTCTCATGTGTTATTTGGAACGAAAATACCATTTAATATCAATTAAAATAATCTTTATATATTTATCAAACACCTCTATATACTTTTTACATTATCATGTTCACATTGAAGTGAACACCTACATAACTAAATATTTACCACAACTAAAGTGCTTAATTCTTTTAGAAGTTGAAATATTGTTTTCTTAATATTTTTCACTATCGACCAAATTGTACTGAAATAATTTATCTAAATAATCTTATTTTAGTTTTCTTTAAATATCATCTGTTTATAAACTATAATATAAAATCATTGGTTTGACATTAGAACTATCTAAATTTCATATAACATGAAAATACCAAATATACAATTATAAATTTTGGTTATCACTGGAAGAACCAAAAACATCAAAAATTTCATCCCTAACGAACCAAAATAAATAATTATTTAGAAGGATTTTTATATTTTAGGAGATTAAAAATAAATATACAAAAATCTAAAACCAAATCGATATTCAAATTAAACAGATTTAATATCTCTTTGTTAAAAAATAGTGAAACTAATAATCATATTTTTCAAAGCGCGCGAGTTATTACCTAGTGTATAGTTATAAGGATTGTTTTGTGCCTCTCTCTTAACAAGTAGTCGAACATTTAATACGGTTGGTTTGGGACCGTTCCTTCATTCATAATATTTCATCAAAAATTATAAATAATAGTACTCTTCCATTTCGGTTTATTTTTCATTGTAGAGTAAATTTTTTGTTTTAATCAAAGTAAGTGTTGTTTTATAATTTCGATGCAAAAGTTTATTACCTTTATATGTTAATCTATTTTTAATTGGTTGAAATGTGGCTAGGTGTATACGTACTTGTGTTTTTATCTAGAAAATATATAAAATTAAATATTTTCTTAAATCTGTGTGTAAAAACCTAAAAATACAACTAAAGTAAAACGAAAGGAGTATGGGCCAAGTATTTTGGACCGTTTGTGCATTTAGGGAATGTTTTGTACCTTTCCCTCGACGAATAGTCAAACAGTTAATGCAAATAACTATAAAGTTTCACTGATAAATACTTAAATTATCTATATATATAAAGTAATGTTTGCCTCCCTCCTATGATGCCATGTCATCAAATACTGCAACCTTAGTATGACACGTCTCATTTATACTCATACGTTGCGTTTTTTGTTTTGTTCCTGGTACACTAAATATTTAGTGGGCTTGACTAATTCGAGAGCCCAAAATATTTTTTTTTAGGGCTTCCTTTCTTCTTCGAATTCCGCCACCAAGCTGCGTTCTCTGTTTCAATGGTGTTTCTAGAGATTGTCTGACTCAAATCGACATGAAGAATCTCTTTGTTGGTTTGTAGTCGCGTCGATTTGTCCTCTCTTTTTTAAATCTGAAACGCTCCATGCCACAGATTCAATGTTTTCTTAACTCCAAAGACCGACGTAAAACACAATCTCACATTGAATGAGAGATATCTCTTTGAAAGGCGGTGTATCCACAACTATATAAAGGTTAGCCTTCTTCACTCTGATAACATCCTCTCATTCCGTCAAAACACCAAAATTCATCTACTTT